TGGCTTTCTCCTTTGTTGCACTAGACAGGTAAAATATTTATTTATTTATTTATTTACTTACTTACTTACTTACTTATTTATTTACTTACTTTATTTGTTTGTTTGTTTGTTTAAATGTATATAGCTGCCCAATATAAATGCATACCTCTGGACAGCAAACAATCCAATAGTATTTAAGAAAACAAATAATCAATTAGTAATCAATAACAATTTATTAATTTTACATGCTGGCTGACTCCTAGTAACTCTGTGTCCAAAAATAACCCAATGCAAGGAACAAAAATAACTGAGGCATTACGCAACAATTCCATCAAAAAACAAAGACCGTGATAACTAAGCGTCCTTTGTAGTTTTGAAAGGCTGGCTTTCAAACCTAGATATTCGCAACCCCAGAGTTAATACCTCTGGCAAGAGGTAAGGTCCACTTACCTGCCCAAGGGAGTGGATGTTTGTTAAGGTGACCAACTTTTTTACAACAAAAAGGAGGACACGAATAAATTGAAGAAAAAAATATCATAAATAAAAGAAACATTGTATTTATTGCAACAATAATACAGAATACACTATAATATGATCAATGCATAATAAAAAACATTTGTAACAATAACATTTTATATTGTAATTATGCTTACATGCCTATTAATTATTCAAATGAGTACTTTTCCATTGAATGAATATTTTTTGTCAATGTATCATTTTCTAACAATATATTGGAAATATCTGAACAAGAAATATCCTTCATATTGAATTTTACGGCAAGTGCTGCAGCTAGAGTATCAACATTCAATCTCGATTTCTCACTTGTCCAAAAATCTACACGGCTGGATTGCGCGGGGGTGGGCGGCGGAGGCAGGTGTTGTGAGCCAGGCACTCCAGGATGGCCACGTAGATGCACAGGGTGAGGTGGTGGCAGGCAGGTCAGTACTGCGTAGACCACTAGCTGGCATGGCCCATGGAAGGTCAACTGCCCGCCGCGCCCCCGCCCACAGCCACCCTGCCAGCACTGCTGCCCTGCCGTGGAGAGCTGGCCCCGCGGCTCGCAAAGCACCAGCCGAGCCAGCTCCGGCCCTGAGCCGTCCCCCAGCACCACCGCCCACCCTGCGCATCCCCGTAGAGCTGGCTCGCAAAGGCAAAGCACCAGCTGCTCCGGCTCCGGCCCTGCAGCTGTCCTCCCAGCCGCCCCCCCAGCACCACTGCCCACCCTGCGCATTCCTGTAGAGCTGGCCCCATGGCTCGCAAAGCACCAGCCACACTGGCTCCGGCCCTGCAGCCACCCCCCAGCACCACCGCCTACCCTGTGCATCCCTGTGTAGAACCGAACAGGGAAGATCAAGAGAAACTTACCGCTCCAGTCTCCTCCAGCTATCTGCGGAACTAAGTAAGAGATAGTGTAGTTGGATAGCAGTGAGGGGTGCAAAGTTCCTGCAACTTGCATGTGCAAAGTTTGCCGCCCGGGTGTTTTGGTGCACTCAGCAGCAATTCCTATTGGCTTTCGAAAGCCAATGGGGGAGTAGCACAGCTCAGGCAAAAGTTGAAAAAAAAAACCATCAAAAAAAGGTGCCGGAACGCTGTTCTGAGCGTTCTATGAGGGAAAAAAAAGCCATGCAGATTAGTCTTCAAATATAGAAAAAGAGGACATTTAGGAGGACATTTTCGAGGGAGGACAGAACTCCCAAAAGGAGGACGGTTGGTCACCTTATGTTTGTTGATCTGTGGGAAGCTGATTTTGGGTAATAGCCATAGAAAAGTTGGTAGTTTTCAGAAAATTTGAAATGTGGAAGGAGGTCAGAGGATATCTTGCAAACTATCTTGCTGAAATAGCATGCTAGGCTGGTAATGTTTTTCAGCGCTCACAGGCTGCTATTTTTTCACGCCTTGGCTGCAGTCCCTGTAAATTTGCTGTGTTTCATTTGCCCTTCGGAACAGGATTTTAGGGATTGCTTTAAAGGAGGGCAGGTAGCTTGGGCTATAATTGCTTCTGCAGAATGCAAAATGGCTCTGTAGAATAGTTTCCACTTCATGACTAGAAATTCAGGACGGAATTTATGAAATCCTGCGGAAGTGGAGTATGCTAAACAATTCAACCAAAGGAGCAAACTTTGGTTAAATTCTCTTCTGACTAGGGACTGCTGATCTAAAACAAAATGTACACAACTCCTGGTAAGACAGTCTGATTTTTTGGGAGGAAGGATGCTCATGGATACATACAGGCCATTAATAAAAATCAAATCTGTGCCTGTAAAAATTAAGCCCAAGACTCTGGTTTATCACATGAAAAGAGCTTGTTGCTTGAGCAGTGATTCAAGAAACATAAGCCAGTTCCTAGGACAACCCAACATCTAATCCTGTTCTGCATTATTGAGCCGTTGTGGTGCAGTGACTAGAAAGCAATATTGCAGGCTAATTCTGCCCACAGCCTGGAGTTCAATCCTCGTGGAGACTCAAGGTTGACTCAGCCTTCTACCCTTCTGAGGTCGGTAAAATAAGGACCCAGATTGTTGGGGGGGGGGGGATATTGTTGAAGCGGTATATAAACCTAAGTGTTATTGCTATAATCCTAAATCTAGTGTATGCAGGGGAGGGGGGGGGGAGAGGAAGTGATAGGTTCTTATAATGTTTTTTCCTGGATATCAACCTGCAGGTTCAGATACCATTTTTTGTTTTTAGTTTTTGCAAGCTCAGAGAGAGAGAAGTCTTCTGAGTTAACTTTCTATTTTCAGATAAAAATATGACATAGTAGTCATAGTACAGAAAGTACTATAGAAACTATACGAAACTATGGTATACACAACAGAAATTATAGCATGCGCCATTGACAGCCATTCTCAGATGTTCTGAAAGTTCTTAAAATGATACTGCAAATTCTGTAATCCTGTCTCAGATATTGTAGTTGTGCCTTATAAGCATTTTCTTGCATTATTTTTTTTAAAAAAATAGCATTTCTTTTATTGCTGCATGTTTCAGCTCACCCCTTAATCAGCCTGTAAAGAGTGACTCCAACACCCTTTTCTTTCTGTCACCTATGCGGTAGTGATTTTGCCTTGCACAGGCTGGCTAAATGAGGCGAGCATGAAAAGATAGCTGGCATTGCTTTTTTATCTTTTATCTGTCCTGTAGAGGCATGAGGTGGCCCGCTGCACATTCCTTTCTGGCACAGTCATGCTGTTTTGCTTTATAAGCACCTTGTCACTTCCAGAGATAGCTAAGTTCTACTCAACACCATCACACCCAACGTGAGGAAAGGGAAAAAAATGGATGGGAAGAATGCTTGAAAGAAAAGTGGCTACTTATCAGTTGCAAAAACAGTGCATCATTTCTGGGCATAATAAATGCTTCAGACATTCTTTGGTTATTCTAAGCTGAGACAACCAAGTTTAGCAGAACATCCTGCTGTGTAGGAAAGTAGAATCCAACGTGCAAAAAGTTCCTGGATCTCTCCCTTTAATGGTCTAGTCCAGGGGTAGGCCACCTTGGCTCTTTTATGACTTGTGGACTTCAACCCCCAGAATGCCTGAGCCAGCCATGCTGAGGAGAAAGGGAGAGATTTCCAAGCTGAGCCATGCTGGCTCAGGAATTCTGGGAGTTGAAGTCCACGAGTCATCAAAGAGCCTACCCCTGGTCTGGACCAGGAGTTTCCAAACTTGGCAACTTTAAGACTCAACTCCCAGAATTCCCCAGCTAGGATGGGGACGGTGGTGTCAGGGGAAAGGAGAGGCAGGTAATCTTGATCTCATCCTGCTCAATTCCAGGGTGAGGTCACACATTTCTCTCATGGATCCGGTAAGACTAAAGAATATCTTGATTGGGTCAAGCCATGATCTCTTTTATCCCAGCCATTCAACTTATGACCACAACTGAACCCAAAATTTCTGTTGCTAAGTGAGACATTTGTTGTCAGTTTTGCCTCATTTTTACAATCTTTCTTGCCACCGTTGTTAAATGAATCCTTGCAGTTGTTAAATTAGTAACATGGTTGTTAAGTGAATATGGCTTCCCCATTGGCTTTGCTTGTTGGAAGGTGGCAAAAGATGATCATCATAAATATGAGTCAGTTGCCAAATGTCTGAGGTTTGATCACATAACTATGTGGATGCTGCAATGATGATGTGTCAAAAATGTCATATGTCACTTTTTCCATGCCATTGTAACTTCGAACGATCACTAAGCAAACTATTATAAATCGAGGACTATCTGTACTTCCTGCCTACATTTTACCCCAAATGTGTTGGAATACAACTCCCATAATCCTTAGCAAGTATATGCCATATTTATTTTTGCCTATTACTATATGCGTAAATGTTAAGGCACGAATATACTCCATGTTGTCTTTTGATCCTGATGCTAAATTAATGCCTCCCTGATACATCCTAAATTGTCTAGAATAGTGATGGCGAACCTTTTAGAGACAGAGTGCCCCAAAACCGCCTTGTCCGCCCCGCCCCGCCCACTCGCAGGGCCATCCACTGCCTCCATGGCCCGCCACGGAGGCAGTGGATGGCCAGGCATCCCAGCAGTGCCATGCACGTGATGGGGCATGAGGGTGGAGTCTTGGCCCTGCTGCCCACTGCCATGTCCTTGGCTGTGCTGCTCCCCACAGGCTGCACTCGGGGGCGACTCTCCTCCGGGGGGGCTGCTGTGAGGAGGAGGCCGCAGGGGGAGGCGGAGCTGGAGCGACAGCATGCATGCCCACAGAGAGGACTCTGAGTGCCACCTCTGGCATGCGTGCCATAGGTTTGCCACCACTTGTCTAGAATCTCCTGGTGGCCTTCTGTCCAGATAATATCAGCCAGGTGCTGGGGTCTTTTTATACAGATATGTAGGGAAAAAAACATCTAGGGAAGGGATGGATTTTATCTTAGATACAACTCCTGGTGCTCCAAAATTTCATACTTCCAGCCAATTTTGAACAGTTCCCATTTACACTGATAAAGGGATCAGACTTTTTTTCAGCTTGCACCTATTGTTAATTAAAAACACTTATTGCTGCATTTCTGTTACAGAAAACTACTTCATTAAGGAGGGCACAACAGATCCATTACTGTGTGGCAATAGCACAGATGCTGGGTGAGTTTGATTTGATCATATTTTGAGAAAGAATGACAAACCTCTGTTGTTATAACTAGATCTTCTTAGTTTTCCTAATGTTGTGCAGAAACCACGACTACATCATATGTTGCAATGTCATTGTACAAATGATGTAAATTATATAATTTGACTTATTTGGACAGTGATACCTCAATATGTGTGATCTCACTTCTCCCCTATCCCTTTACAGATATATCTGATAAATTCTTTGTTGGCATTGTTGCATAAAATGAAGTTTCTGAAATAAGTAAAACAATTTCCTGGATATTTCATAATAGGTCTTTGAAAATTTGGTTAGATAGTTTATTTATTTTTATTTATTATTAGACTTCTATCCTACCCATCTTGCCAAGGCAACTCTAGGCAGCTTACAGTCATATAATTAAAATACCATGTTAAATATTAAAATGTTAAAACATTAAATAAGAACCATACCATTAAAAATTCTGATAAAATTTGTTTAACCGCGATGGAAAGAAAAAGAGTGAAGTCCACAGAGAGAGGAGATGGGGTCTACAAGTAGTCCTTGACTTATGACCACAACTGAGCCCAAAATTTCCATTATTAAGCAAGACAGTTAAGAGAATTTTGTCCCACTTTGCAATCTTTCTTGCCTCAGTTATTAAGTGAATCACTGCAGTTCTGAAGTTAGTAACATGGTTGTTAAGTGAATTTGGCTTCCCCATTGACTTCGCTTGTGAGAAGGTCGTAAAATGTGATCACACAAAGCTGAGACATTGCAAACATCACAAATACGAGCCAGTTGTCAAGTGTCCAACAGCGATTCTGTGACCCTGGGGATGCTGCAATGGTCATAAGTGTGAAAAACAGCCATGCCACTTTTTTGAGCGCTGTTGTAATTTCTAACAAAGGCTTGTAAGTCGAGGACTACCTGTAGAGGTCATGTTTCTCCACCTCGGCAGCTCTCAGAAATTTTAGATCCAAGCTACTGTAGCTAAGTTGATCCAGACTAAATTGGCTGAATTTAACTGCACTGAAATGTAATTTAAATTCATGCATAACGTATTGCATGAATTTCAGTAAAAAAAAGTATAATAGACTCTGATGGCTGTTTTCTTGGAAGTAAAGCTCATTAAGTTCAATGAGACTTACTTTCTGTATTGATTTCCTTGGAAAGTACAACATTACATATGCTTATTTGAAAGTACTTTAAAGATTTGAAGTCCAGTAAGACTAATGGCTAATTGTTGTAATTCAGATTGCTTCAATTCAGTGGAGCAACTCATGATTGTTAGTTCAGCTCTAGAGGGCAGTCACAGTTCAGAGGGTCAATGTGAACGGCAAAGATGGTCACCCAGTCATGATAATAACGTTATCTGCAGAAAAAGATCAGGTTAAGTTGCTTATATTTTTTCAAAGTTTATATTCCTGTGTTTTTCCCATGTATTATCCTCCTCCTCCTCCAGCTTGTCCTGGCATTCAGTTGATAATTAAAAAAAGGAGAATGCTAGGAAAGAGAAGAGGACATAAGAAAAACGTTGAAATAGAGACATGGGAGAAAAGCAAGAATGAAAATGATGCATGATTAATTCTAGTGTTGTCACTTTCAAGAAGAAACAGAGCATATGTTTTTAAAGGCCTTTGGAAAATATGTCTGTGATGAAAATTTAGAAGAATTTCCATGACAGAATTTTAAAGGAATTTCTAAGGAAATATAAATGCTACAGTTGTGCTGAAATAAAAAAAAAATAAAACTGTCATAAGATTATCACCAGCTGTATAAAAAGCTTCTCCAGAGTTTGAATTAAGGAGCTTCCGAGGAGAGGTTACAAGGTGCTTCAGAGCAGATGTGGGCACATCACTCAAGCATATATTTTTGTATACAGATAGTCCTTGACTTGTAGCTATTTGTTTACTGACCCATCCAAGTTAGAATAGCACTCAAAAAAATGACTTACAACCTGTCCTTGCATTTACAACCATTGCAGCATTACCTTTGCCAAATAATCAAAATTCAGGCGCTTGACAACCTGTATTTATGACGGTTGCAGCATCCCAGGGTCATGTGATCACCATTTGTGATCTTCCCAGTTGGTTTCTGCCAAGCAAAGTCAGTGAGGGAAGGTGGATTTGCTTAACAGCCATGGGATTCATTTAACAACTGCAGTGAATTGCTTAATGACCATGGCAAGAAAAGGTGTAAAACTGGGCATAACTTACTTAACAACCTAAGGAGAAACTTCCTGACAGTGAGAACAATTAACCAGTGGAACAGCCTGCCTCCAGAAGCAGTGAATGCTCCAACACTGGAAGTTTTTAAGAAGAGACTGGACAGCCACTTGTCTGAAATGGTATAGGGCCGTGGTGGCGAACCTATGGCATGCATGCCACAGATGGCACACAGAGCCCTCCCTGTGGGCACACGCGCCGTTGCCCCAGTCCTAGGCCTTCAGCTGGGTTTTATAAAACCTTTTCGCTTTAGGCCTCCACCACCATGTGCAAAAAAAATCAATTTCAACTTCTCGCGGGAGAAAAAACTTTTTAGTCCCACCCTGTCTGCCATTACCACTGCAGCCACGCCCACCCAATGAACCATGCCCACCTGGCACCCGAAGATACATAAGTGGGTTTTGAGTTGCACTTTGGGGGCACAGTCTCTAAAAGGTTCGCCATCACTGGTATAGGGTTTCCTGCCTGAGCAGGGGGTTGGACTAGATCAGGGCTTTTCAATCTTTTCACCCATTGTACCACTTTTAGGATATGGCAATATCCTAGTACCACCAGTTGCCTAGCAAGGTGTCAAAAACTTGATGACCCCCCCCCCCCGAAAAAGGAAGAAAGTGATGAAGTACAGGTAGTCCTCGACTTACAACAGTTCGCTTAGTGACTGTTTGAAGTTACAATGGCACTGAATGGTTGCTAAATGAACTGTTGTAAGTTGAGGGCGACCTGTATTTATAATAGCTGCACTACCCCAGGGTCATGTGATCACTATTGCTAATCTTCCCAGCCAGCTTCCAACAAGCAAAATCAACGCGAGGTCAGATAAGATAAGATAAGATAAGATAAGATAAGATAAGATAAGATAAGATAAGATAACCTTTATTGTCATTTTTATACTGTGGGCACGATGGCACACATCAAAAATGAAATTTAGTTGCCCGCTCTCAAAGTGAAACACGTACGTGACACACACCTAAACATACTATGAACAACTTATGTACAGACCCACATCTCTACATATACGTAGCAAATAAATATTAAATATTGTCCATCTTGAATACGTAAGGGAAGGAGGAAGTTTGAGAGTTCACAAGGTTAATGCTGTATGGAATGAAACTATGGCTGAATCTGGATGTTCTGCTAGGGATACCATGAAGCCCCCTCCTCCCAGAAGGTAACAAGGAAAACAGGTCATGAAGAGGATGTGTAGTGTCTCAGATAATCTTACAGACCCTGCTCAAGCAATGCTTCTGTGCTATGTCCTGATGGGAGGGAGGGAGCTGCCAATGATCTTTTCTGCCGTCCTCACCACTCTCTGCACCGCCTTCCTGTCTGAAGCAGTGATGCCTCCAAACCAGACTGTGATGCTGTATGACAGGATGCTCTCCATTGTCCCCCTGTAGAAAGTGGCTTAATTATCTCCTGATTCACTTAACAGCTACAATGATTTGCTTAACAGCAGTGGCAAAAGGTCATAAAATAGGGCACAACTCATTTAACAACTGCCTTGCTTAGCCACAGAAATTTTGGTTTTAATTGTGGTCATAAATCAAGGACTACCTATGACATCATTCTTTTTACAAAAACACTCTAGGACAGTGATAGCGAACCTTTTAGAGACCGAGTGCCCAAAAAGTGGCCCCGCCCCCACTCCACCAAACATCCCCCACGCCATCTGCCCGCAGGGTCTGTCACTGCCTCCAGGGCCCGCTGCAGATCGCTCAGGCAGCCCAGCAGCGCTATGGCAGTCACGCCCTCTGCCCGCGCCCTGCAGCATCAACTGTGCAGAAAGGGGTGTGAGGGCAGAGTCTTGTCTATGTTGCCTGGCTGCCATATCCTTGGCTGTGCTGCTCCGTGTGGGCCACGCTCAGGGGCGACTCTCCTTCAGGGGAACTGCTGGAGAAGAGGGGGTCACGGGGGAAGGCGAGTCTGGGGCAATGGCACATGTGCCCACAGAGAGGGCTCTGAGTGCCACCTCTGGCACTCTTGCCATAGGTTCACCACTACTGCTCTAGGAGAAGGAAGAAAACTTGAGGGACATAGAATCTGAAACCTCCATATGTTGTTGACTTTAAATTTTCTCCTAGTATTTTGATCCAATGCTGTTTTAGCAAATACAAAAAAAGAGTAATTGAGGCACCTCAACAAATGGCAGATGTACCAAAACACCTTTGACAACTGCATCCTAATGATAGTTAGGACTCCTATAGAAACCTTAATTGCCTCTATCATCTCTTGAACTTTAATTTTCATTTATAGATTTAGCCAAAAGTAATTTTTATGCTCTACAGGGAGATACATTTTTCTTCCTTTGGTTTCCAAGTGCATTTGTTTACCTAGTCTATAAATAAAAGTAATTTAGAAAGAGAATGAAGCCTTAGAAACTTCCCTGTGAATTTCAGTGCAATTTTAAAGTAGAACTATTTCTGCGGTTGTTGCCAGGGCTTTTCTTTAGAAAATCCCTAAACGTATTTTTGTTAAAAAGCAACAACAAAAAACTTTAGGACACCTGTTAGACACGATGCAAAAGTGGCTGTACTTTTTTTCTAACAAAAAAAGTTTTGCATATAATTTATTTCTTATTTAATTGCTGAAATGTTTACCACAACTGGGAAGATATAAAAGATGAAGGATTTTTTTTTCCTAATTGCAATCGTTCTTTTTTCTAAAATTGTAGTGACTAAATTCAGAAGTTGGCTGGAAGACAGATCTTGGCAATGTTAGAAGTTTGAACAAAGCTAGTAACAAACATTTGGTAATTGTTCTTTTGACTGGTGACAGAAGCAAAATGTGTT